ATGTGGATTCATGGATTTTTTTTCACATTCTGTCTCTCACAGTTGAAGTGTACCTCTGGTGCAAATTACTGACCTCTGTCATCATTTTAGGTGGGGAACTTGCACAATCGGTGGCTGACTAAATACTTTTTTGCCCCACTGTATATTGGATGCAAAGATGCAACTCAGAAGACAAAAAAACAACTAATTAAGACATTAAATTTAAATAAACCCATCCACTCATAAGTCCGCTCATTTAGTCACAGTATTATTTTGCAGAGACTGGAAACAGGAAGAACGACCACAGGCCTGATGCTGTCCTGAGAAACCTCACTGACAGGTTACACTGTCCACTGCAGTTTGTACACTGTTAATACTGATAAAACAGCGTTTTTAGTTACATCATACTTACACACTGCTTCTGCAAAAAAAAGAAAAAGAAGAATTTCATTTTTACACATCCTATTTGAGAGCACTGTGGTTTGCACTTTGTTTGCTTTAGTTTTGTATTGTATGCACTGTGTTTTTGCCCAAAGACTACTTGGTAAGGTTTAGAAAGAGGTTAAAACAAGTCCCAGCGCGTAAATACAATTTGCTGAAAAATAGTGCTGACCCAGAGCTTTTAAATGTAACAGCATCTCTATCTGACAAAGTGGGAGTTGGAAACTGTCTCACAGGACTTACACTTGTCTTTTGGGCAGTTTTAAGAGCCCAGTAGCTTTGACAGAACAGCAGCATTTGATGCTCTGTGAATAAGAGCAGCTTGAGTCTTGGTCTCTGTAAATCTTTGTGGGAACTTGAACCTCTCATACGTGTTTTAAACATTTTGGTGACGTATAAAGCTGATGCGGTGAACTGAATTCTTTCTGTTCTATGTTTGGTTAACAACTGTAGCACAAAGTGTTTTGAAATTCTTATCATACTGATTTGCATCAGTGACAGGCTGCTTCTCCACAGAGCTGCACTCGGGCTTGTGGGTACTGTAGTACTGTGGTATCCGCCATGGCTAAACAACACATAACAAAACTTGTAGTATTTTTCCAACTAAACTGGTGACTACAACTTAAACCTGCGGGGTATTATTTCATTTCATTTCTATCTCTCTGTATAGGCCCCTCCCATCAGCTGCGCTTTCATGCAGTGTGTCATGATTTGACAAAAAATTAAACATATCTACTTGAAATGATAATAAAATGTCACCATCTGCATAACAGGGAACTCATTAACCCCTTTGAGCTGAACACGGTGCATCCTCTGCAACAGTAAACACATAAAAGCATCTGAAAAATGCTACATACTCAAATCATTGGTGAACATAGCTACAAAGGAGCATACGTGCTATGCAACTCACCATGCCATTATAGTGCATTTTAATGCGGCAATGTTTTAACTAAAACATTCGCTAAAATATGGCATGTATTATTTAACTTATTATTAATTCATGGTCAGTTCCAGCACTGATAAACATGTGCGTCTTTGGAGAGCCCTGAAGAAGTGTACGTACAGGCTGAATCCGAAACTTAAAGAGACGTATGGTGCTGCCAAGTGGAATGCTTACAGCTTGGCACCAGTGAGCATTTCCTTATATGCAGTGTTGATTACTTGGCCTAGATACAACAATATGGATTATTCTTATCTTCACTCCTCCGAATGATGTGATGCATCGGGGGCACGGGGTTTCTAAGTTCACCGTTTTATGTAAAGCGTTTTAAAGAAGAATTGATATGTAGTGATATATTTCCTTAAGCCTGACACCAGCTCAGTGATTCAGTTATGCTCTGGTCTTTAGGTTATCTGTGAGATCAAGATTTACAAGGAATACTGAATGTAGACTCTTACACCACACTTTTTTATTCTTTTCTTTTTTTTATTTTTTAGAAACTGATTATTAAACCATTGCTGAAAAGGGAGCTATGGATTGATTAGAGGTAATTACTTAACTGCAGGCCAGAAAAAGAAAAAAAAAAGAGCTTTGGATTGAAAGCTACCGGCCATTCACTCGACACTAAAGAGCATGAAAATCTCAGCTGCAGTCTGTGGGAGTAGCTAAGCAGCCATGCAGAAAGGACGCCTTTAGAAATCTGTCTGCATTTCTTTGACGGCTGCAGATTACGACTGGATTGGTTTTAAACTCCTGACAAGGCGTTGGAAAAGCTCCCTGACAGAGTTATGATTGGGGCTGAGTGGCCTTAACAGTATGCTTTGTCAGAAAACATTAGCACACACGCAGACTGATGTTTAAATGGTGATGCTATTCAAGGATTTGTGGGAGGAAAAAGTCGTATTCGCTTTCAGTGATCTGGTTCATCCCACAATTGCTTGATTGTGTTATTGTCCAGCCAAATCACGAATGCCATTCACTGGTATTTTAGGAAAATGTCAAGACGGGAACATAAGCTCAGGAGAGGAAATTCAAAGCAATCTAATGCTTTTTTAAGCAGCAGAAAAACACAGTTTGACAAAAGAGCGGAGAGCCTAATCTAATCAGAAATCAACTTTTCCCACCAAGCTGCCTTTAAATACAACCAAAGCAACAATTCTGCAGTTTTCATCCTGCGATAGAAATATTGAGCAAACTAAAAGGATC